TTTTATTGTAAGCCGCCCGGAGTCCTTCGGGAGTGGGCGGCATACAAAACTAATAAACTATAACTATAACTAACTTACTATAACTCTAACCCTTATTCTAACCCTAACCCTTACTATAACTCTAACCCCAACCCTAACCCTTATTCAAACCCTAACCCTAACCCTTACTCTTACCCTAACCCTTACTCTAACCTAACCTTCTCTAACCCTTATTCTAACCCTAACTATAACTCTAACCCTAACTCTAACCCTTACTCTAATCCTAACCCTTACTATAACTCTAACTCCAACCCTTACTATAACCCTAACTGTAACCCTAACCCTTACTTTACCTCTAACTTTAGATTTTACCCTAACCCTTACCCTAACCCATTCATTTGAATGGATGTTTTTTTGCCAGAAATCAGCAGAAAAACATCTTGAATTGCCGTCATACGACTGCAGAATTTTTCCCATTTCAGAATGTCTTACGGCTCCGTTTTAGGGAATTCCACTGCTAAATTTCAACTGGGTAGGTTAAGAAAAAAAAAAAAACACCCTTTGGCAGACAAAAGGGGAATCTCTGACAGTATTCATCTGTTGGGATGCCAGCCATGAATCTCATCTTTGCTAACCAGATACTCTTTGACCCATCAAAATCTTTTTGGACATACAGGAGAGAGGCTGTCTTGTTGACATACACAAATTCTTTCCATGGGGGAAATGGAATAAGGCTCCATTTCCTTACAGGGGAATAAGGCTCAGGATTTATACCTGCCTACAATGGCTTCCATGAATTCATCGATGAGCTCATCATAAACCTGTGAGCGGTCTCGTTTCTGATACAATCCCATATAAAATGGGTCTTCCAAAAGTGTCTAGGAAAATGGACAAAAAAAACCAAAGTCACTGATCCGATCTCTGACACTGAATTATATTCTGCCACACTGTTTTGAGCAAGGTTTCCCAAGAGCATGAAGCAGACTCCTCATCTCGACAAAAAACCCTTTTATTAGTTTACTGTGAATTCTGCTCACTCGCATCCAGCATAGTCTTTCAAGGGAGGATTACAGTCACAGAACTTATCTGCCTTGGAGAGCTGCCAGGCCGATATCTGCAAAACTTGGCAAAGAGTCTCGGAGAGTCACCAACCAATTAAACGAACTAATTGTCTCCTGCAAACTCCACTCCCCTTTCGCTCCTCTTTTATTTCCTCTGGGAGGGGCCATTCATCGTCCACCTGTAGCCTTACTCCAGTGGTGGGTTTCAAAATTTTTT